TCCTTTCCTTTCCTTTCCTTTCCTTTCCTTTCCATCTCTCCCATGACACTCTCCCTTTCCCTTTCCCTTTCCCTTTCCCTTTCCCTTTCCCTTTCCTTTTTAGTTCTTTGTGCTGAAAGAAAGATATAATACAACACATTTTTGGAAGACTAAGCACACATTTACTGTGCCAGGTCCTATCTACTGCATCCTTCAGCATGTTCCAAGGAAAGCATTAAAAGTATTTTAGCTCTGCTGTACACCACATAACTCAGCTTCTTAACTTCTTAGAGTGAGTGGTACTACTATAGAGGGAGTAAAACAATGTATTTTTAATTCTTTGGGTAAACCAGTGGAGCAGTGTCATTGATGTTATTTATTGTATCTGGTTTCAAGTGAAGATTACTTCAAGGAGGCATATTGTTATGGGTTTCTTCATGTAGGAAAGATTCCCAGCCAATTGCTTTTATACTGATGAAAGAGGACCTCAGTCCTGTTGGAGTCATTTGCTGTTCCTTCCAAGAACAGAATTTGGAAAATTCTGTTTGTATCAAATTTAAGTTATTTCTTAGTTAAATTTTCCTGTACGATCTCTTGATCTCAAGGGAAAAAAAAAAAAGTTCAAAAATAATGACTGTAAAAAAAAGAGAGCAAGTGATTGTTTTGAAGACTTAAAAGAAAGTATTACTTACAGGTTATATCATTTTCACAAACTTCCTATGACTTCACATCACTGAATGCCATTTTCTTTAAACTCCTTTGGCCTGGAGAAACAGTGTGTTCACAGTAGTAGGCTCACTCTTTCTTATTCCTTTTCATCTGGTGTTATTGATTGATTTTGGGTGTATAAAATATACCTTAGAAATGTAGATGTAAGGCAGCATTAAATTTTTCTAGAGCAGCGATGATGTAAGAGAAAATGATAATTGTTTGAAAAGTGGAGAGGAAAGATGATCTGCTGTTGTCTTCTGCTGTGGTATTTCCATAAAGATAATACACCTATGCTATCCATTTGTATATTTCTCCTGCATTTACTGGTTATTTATAGACTGTTCTAAGACTGGTAGGACTGATGCAGTGGCTATCCTTATACCTTGAACTGTGTATTTCCATTCCATGATGTAGGTTTTTTGTTAAAGTTTATTAGGAAGAAAATGTAGATATTTATTTTAAAAGCTATTGTATCTCATAGTGGTTTAGACTAGCACCCTAGAATCCACCTGTAAGAAAGACTTCTTTTAGAGAGGAGAATTGGAGGGAGAAAGCAATTTTATTTCCCAGATACACAGATAATTTTGCTACATCAAAAAAATCCATAGAGAAAAAGTAAGTTTAAGTATTCATTTAGTATTTTAAGAATAAAATTAAGTCCTATGTTTAGACAACTACTGTAGACAATTTGTAGAGAGAAATGAAGTCCCTACTGAAAAAAAATCCCTCAGGAACACCTTTCTTTTAGCAAACCTTTGATTAGTATTTTTTCATTTCACTTTTTATAAAGAAACTTGCAATGCTTTGGTAGTGAACATACTGTGAAGCATATTGGCCAGCCTTTGACGGCATGCATTGTCAGAGTTTTATAGTCTATTTGTTAAAAGTAGCCATTGCTAATTGATTTAACTTAACATAACTGCTCTTGGGATTAATCTGGTTTTGCAGTTTTCATACTACATTATGTGATGCCTGTAAAAGTTAAAGAGTTAAAGTATCCTTGTCAAATTTCTAGGTGTCCTTTTTCTTTGTCATCTCAGGTAGAGTTTTGAAGCATCACTACTTATGTTAGCATTTCATGTCATTTTGCTTTCCTGTGCTTTCCTTGTTGTTGCTAAGGGTTTTAAATCCCTGGGATGTGAAGGATAGTAGGCAATGGCTTGACATTCAGGTGGTAACAGGTAAAAAGTGGATATCCCAGGACCCATATTGTTCAATATCTTCATCAAGAGTGTAGACAAAAATGTGGACAAAGATACACATAATGCATATTCTGCATTATGTGTATCTTTGCAAATGCGTTAATGACAAAACAAATTAAGAATGGCTGGCACTCTGGTTGATGGTGCTTCAGTCCGGACACGTCTTGACAACCTTAAGACCTGAACTAACATAAACTTCACTGAATTTCTGCATATGGAACAGGGTGACCCCAAACATCAATACATGCTAGATGCTAACTGTCTGGGTAGCAGCCCTGCTGGGAAGAACCTGGGGGGTGATAATGAATATTGAGTTGAACATGAGTTAATAAGTTTGTTCTCATCATATGAAAGCAAATGTCACAGTTTTTTCAGAAACGCGGCTGGCAGACTGAAGGAAGTTGTCATGCCCTTTTACTTGGTGCTGTCGAGCCAAATCTGGAACAGTTTGTCCAGTTTTGGGTCCTTAAGTTCCAGGGAAATACTGAGAAACTGGAAAGACTTAGTTGAAAAATACTGAGAGCTGAGGGCCCTGGAGCACATGACCTGTCAGAAGAGGCTGAAAGAGACTGTTTAGCTTTACTAGTCTGAAAAAGAGGAGGCTAAGATTAGATAGCAGCCTGTGATTGCTGAAGGACAGTTATAACAATGATAGAACTAAATTTTTCTTAGTAGTGCTGGGTAGAATAACGAAGATCAGAGAAACCACAAATTGTTGCTTGTTGATAGTTTCAGTAGAACATTAGAAATCTTTTTGACTAGTTCAACATAGGAGCAGGTTACCCAGAGGAGACATATAATCTCTGGTTTTGGAATTTTTCAATGCTTCCCTAGAGGAAGCCATAGCTCACACCATCTGGTGTTGGCAGTATTCCCCTTTTAAGCTGGACGCTGGAATAGACACCTCTAGAGAGAGGGTTGTTCGAGAGGGATCTCAAGCAAAGGTTCTGCAAGCCTGCACATTTCCATGTAAAATTTCAAGACAATTTAGTTATAGAGAAGCTCAGTGTGTTTGGTTACCCACCTAGAGTTAATTATTTCAATATTACTGACAGTAGTCAACTACTGATTTATCACTGGTAAACAAAGACATAAATGATTATGAAATTTAAACCATATTGCATAAAAAGTTAGCATTTTAAATTATATGAAGGAGTTATCTCTTAACGTGAAAAAATTAAACTCACTTAGATTACTTTCTAAAATGTATAATAGAATTACACAAGAAATTCTAGGACTGCCATTTCTAGGATGTATTATGTGAGAAGAGCCCTGTGCTATGCAGAAGTTCAGATTAGATGATCCTTTTGTCTTCAAAAGTATGGCTGAATTAATACAGAGACAAAACAGATCTCTGTTATAGTTATGGTAGGTGAGAGTTAACTTATGGCATATATTGTGAAAATTATTTTTAAAGGGTGCAGAATCAATCTAGGCTTACTTAATGTCTTGATGGAATAGATTAACTGAAATTTTTTACTGATCTGAAGCAGCAGCTCCACAAAATACAGTCAAGATGCCAGAAGTATGCATAGGAAAACTGAAATATACCCAAGAGCAGTTTCTGTCCTGATAAGTAAAAGTAAAAATACAGTAGAGATGATTGATTGGGTAGGGAATAAAAGAAAGAAAGAACATCCAGGTATGTTCCTGCACAGGTAGTGTTTACAACTAAATTGAACATGTTGACTCTCAATGAGATCTCATAACTGATGGATTGGACTGTCATAGAAAAGTGACCTGAAAGGCAGAGAATAGAGGAAGAAATTGTATTTGAAGTACTGATTTTTTTTTCTTTTTTCCCTTTTTTCTTTTTTCCTGATCTGAGAAGTTGCTAAGGCCAAATGCTGGTTGTAGCCTGTCTTCAAATACACTTATCAACAGCTCTTTCATTTCCTAGTAAAGAACTCTGCAATTTCAATTTCATCAGGTATAAAAACACTCTGGGAGTCAGAGCAAAATTTGTGTGTATGTGGGTGGGTTTTTGCCTCGTTGATTTCTCTCCTTAATGTGAACACACCTGTACTTCACCTTCTTTGTGCATGGTTTCTTGAGCTGTATGAGCTCGCTGCAGAAGTAGTCCTGGTCCCTCTCCTGATACCACTTTGTATCCTTAGATATAGTTCTGTTCTTACCAGGTGTAATGATTTATTCATCGAATTACTGTTTGGAAGCTATATTTGTTTCCTTAATGTTTAAGACAATTTACTTTCCTTGTTTGAGAGGACTGAGTAAGCCATCTGCTTCTGAAAAGGATTGTTGTCTTTAATCTGCTGCTTCCTGCCTTTGATACGTGAAGGATTTAGTGTTTTCTAAGGACCAGATCCTTACATTGTGAATATCATACCTGCTTTGTTGAAGTAAGAAACCTGAAGCATGTGCCCAAACTAAACCATCAACTTCAGTGTTGCTTCAACCACAATTCAGTTACAGCATAGCGTATGCATGAAGGTGTGTATAATGCTTATGGTTTCATACGTTGACTTTTTTGAGATACACTCTTTTGGTTGACACTGGGCTCTGTGTGAAATAAGTTCTTAAATCCAGTTTTGAACATTTTAAGCTATTTTATCTTGAATGATCTCTAATTCAGTCTAATTCCCTTTTTTTTCCTGTAGGTGTTCAGAAGTATAAAAAAATGAATCATAAAGTAACAGTGGGGAAAAACTAAAAATTAAACAGACACATTTACCACTTAGTTACTGTGTATTGAGTGTGGAAAGGGGCACTTCAATGCTCCTCTCTCCCTGGTATATCCTTAATTTGATGGAATTTATCGGGCAGTCTACTCGTGTGCCTCAGATTAAATGTGCACCTCAGCCAGGGCAAGAGTGCTCATCACGTTTCCTATCTCAGCCCTTGTCACTGTCGTAGGTGAGCAGCGTGCAGGCAGATACTTAAAATAAGAATTGACATGGGGAATTTAACTCACAAGACTAATAACCAACCTGTGGTTTATATTTCTTCATCTTAGCTTAGTCAATGCATGTTTAATTTGGGAGGGTTACTTCAAGGTTATGGCAAGGGTGCTTTGGTGCTATAATTTCTATTATGAAATGCCGTTCTTGTTGGAATAAGGTACATCATGTACTTCTACTCTTTTGTTAGAGAGCAGAAAGACAAACACGAATGATGGACTCGGTCCAGTATGCAGAATTCTGTGAGAGTCGGCAATTGAGTTTTTGTAAGTATTAGAATGGCTGCCCTATAAGATGTTTGATTATTATTTCATGTAATAGAGAACACTGCGGAACCTCATGTTTTTAGAAAGCACTTTTGTTTCATCCGCAATCATAGCACTTTAAATTCTTTGTCTGCAAAACTCCTGGGAACAGTTAATTTAGCATAGTTCCAGTCTGCTAGGCAGAGTGTTTTATTTGAATATTTACCAAACTTTCTATATGCTCAAATGCTGTGCTGGTGGGGAAGACTGCAAAGATCGAACTGGTAAAGAGTTAGTGGATTAAAACAGCCATACTTGCCTGAAGTCTGTCACAGTGGTGTTACAGTCAGCATATTAGCAAAGTTTCATGGTTGCAGGTTTTTTGGAATGCATCTAAAATTAGAGAAGAGCAGCAAGTTTGCTTTTATTTCCCTGTCCGCAGAGACACAAAGAACTTACTAAAGAGTCTTTTCTATTTTAAGCTGTAAGCTCCTGCTGTGGAATTTATTCAACATTAGCCAAATTCATCAGTATACACCATTCCAACACTAATAACATGATGACAGAATTAGGGCTTTACTAGCACTGAAAACCAGCTTACTAGAAGTACTTGTGGGCCACAACTATAATGAGCTGTAAATTAATGGGCTTGATCATGTAGCAAAACATCATTACAGAAGCGGTTAAGTGATGACTAAGGTTTTAGGTCAAATGTCAGAGAAAGTGAGGTGAAGGAGCCAGTAAAAATCATGACAAAACAGCACATGATCCTACAACACAGACTTGAACACAATGGTGTCTTTAAATGAGAGACCTTCTCTTGTTCTTCCTTTTGAACTCAAAGAAAGAGTGACTAATTTATGGCAAATAAGTGACACATTTGAAATACTGTTCTGTATCAGCAAATGTCAGCAAATGTAGGAAAACATGTTTTGTAAGGATTTCTCTTCCTAATTCAGTATGTTTTGTAAGCTTAGTTATAATTTGGCATCACACATCTATGAGCCATTAGAAAAATGATGCTTCAGATTAGGATAGCTACAGGAAATGAGAGGTTGGTGATAAAGTAGTTTTTAAAACCCCAAAATTATCATCTGGATTCAGCACAAATAGAAATCTTAAATCTAAAAAATAAAATTTAATGCTGCAGACCAGGGGACTGTGGTCTATAAAAATATTATAATGGTATTTTCACAGTGTTTTTAAATGACCATTTCTATACAGTTCTTTTTCACTGACATTTAATGTCATAAAAGAATAAGAGAATTTACAGGGCTTAGAAAATATTAGTAAGAGAGAATTATGCACAAATTCAATTGAATAATGTGAACTCAACTAGATAGAACATACTAAAGGCCATGCAGAACATTCAGAGCTAGTGCAAAAGCTGGTTTTTACTTAGTTTTTTAGGTTTTAGTAAAAATTCAATGTATTGCTATATTTATAGTAATAAACTCTTTTTACTGTAATATAAACCCATGAAAACTGTGTCACAAGAGAATAAACCTGGAAGGGACTTGAAGAAGCCTGTTCTAAGAATATGTATTAATAATTAGAGCTCCACATATTTCTGTCTACCTTAAAGACAGGCAAAAGAAAAGGCCCGTCAGAGGATCAAGTACTACAGGATTACAGATTTAAATTGTGGGGAACATTTTGCGGTCCTGCTGTCACCTTCACACTTATCTTGCTTTGGTTTTTGTTTTGGGTTTTTTTTTCTGTTTTTAGTGACCTGATGTAGCCTTCTCATTCCCTCCTACAAAGATAACTGCTCTTTACACCAGTTTTCTGTTTAGTACCTGACTTGTTTTTAGCTTTTTAGTCCTTGTTGAAGGCTATCTTTGAAAGAGCTGTTTCAAATGATTCTTCCACATTTTATCTGTTTTGGTTGTCCTGTCTTCACAAACAGCTCTCATTAAGAACTCTATATTACTAGCTCCTTTCTGTCCAAGTTCTACAGCTTTCTGTGATCAGCTTGTCCACCACTGACCTAGGATCATCCTTTTTTTTCTCCTTTAACTCTCTCACCAAATGTCATAGTTCTTTGTCTCATATTTTTCTCTGTACTTTCTCCTAAGGGATCTCATCCATAAGCGATGTGAAGTTCTCATATGAATGGTGTTCATTTGCAGATCTACATCTATCCTTATTTCTTTATATCTAAGGCAGATTATAAAAACACTCATCTACAAATCATATTGGCTAGCTTGTCAGCACCTTATCCCTGTACAGTTAACACAAGGACTTCCTAGTTCTTCTGTCCTTCTTCATTTGTCTTCACTATTGTATCATTTTATCTGAACTCAGATTTGTGTTGATTTATTCTAGTGATTTTTTTAATCCATCAAAGGTGTGATGCAATTAAGTTTCTCCTGTCTGCAGTCCTCTGAGGTAGATCCTTCCTTGTTCTGAAATCTCCTGTATGATTGATCAATTGTGTGTTTTTCTCTTTACACTATGCTGCTTATGGGTCACCAGAATG